AGCTCAAAGTCATACTGATAGCAACTCATTTGGGTCAATATGAATTCGACTGGACCACTTTCGAATCTTGGACGATCTCCTTGCTGATATTTCTTTTTCAGGCTGCATTGTTGTTCTTCTTTTCTCATGTCAATATGAATTCGACTGGACCACTTTCGAATCTTGGACGATCTCCTTGCTGATATTTCTTTTTCAGGCTGCATTGTTGTTGTTCTTTTCTCATTTTTATCTCTGGTAAAACAGATCTTGGTGATCTTTGATTCTTCCACTTGCTTTTATTCCAAACAAGATATGGACTCATTTTCTAGGACCAAAATCTATGGCTGCTTGGAATGTTTGGTATATTCTTGAGATAAATCACTAATTGGCTGATACCTTTCGCATGCAAGTTGCATATTATTTTGTTTCATTGCTAGGCCTAGAATCTGCAATAGTTTAGATTTCTTGGCACAGAAAGCAGAGGATGGGATTAAGAGTCATGAATTTCAACTCTATCAACAAATCATTTCTAGATAAATATATGCTTAATTTTACTTTGACAAGGAATTATACACTTTGGCAATTTGAACTTGTGAGAATATTATAAATGTTTTTAAATCTAGAGATTCGGGATTCGGGATTCGGACTTGACACTTCTTGTAAAAAAATAGAGCAAAATTATAGCACTAGATTAATAATTAACTGGAAAATGTTTTCTAGCTTTAATTTGTTGATCCAAGTCCCTCAAAATCATCCTAAAAAAACAGCCACAAAAATCTAGATATTGTGCTGTGCCACTATTGTTGAAGTCGGTTGATATGATCATTGGTTGAGAGGGACTTTATGAAAAGTGGAGGGAGAGAATCTGTACTCATGTACTGCCACTGACCATTGCATTCAAATACATCATTAATCTTTTGCAGAGATATGTATATAGCTGGAATCTTTATCACCTCATCACAAGTCTACGTCTATCAAAGTAAATATGCATGCCTATAGATTCCTTTTTCTTATACCCTTATGGCTATAATAGTCTTGCAGAGATTTTTGTATCTCCATTGTTGTTTCTTATTGCTCTGTGAAATTTGATGGGGATTAAAAAGTTGTGAATGGAACATATATATTTTTGTGCATCTTTATACCGAAATTCAATTCGATTTTCATGCTTTTGAGCTCTGCAGGTTGCTTGCTCCTGATTAAGGCATCTCTATCTGCTAAGCTAGCGTAAGCATGAGAACTAACCACCCTTTTCAGGGGATCAAAGTAAACAAAATTCCTTCTTTAAATAGTTTTCTAGTGACCCTGAATCTGCTTCCTTAGTGATTCGGTTTCCAAATTATCGGCAGATTGGAAAAGACCTGTGTGTTAATTAGCATATATAGACTAGTCGCATCACTTTGTACCTTTGTGATGTGCAGAACACATAAACACACCGGCACGCACCATTTCTTTCAAGGATAAGTTCTACGCATCATTGTTTTTGTTGAGTGTTTGTATTACATTAATGGTGTGTTTGCTAATCATGAATTGGAATTTTCATCATGAATTGAATTCCACCTATGGAGGATTCATACGTTTACTTCACATCAATGAATCGAAAAGTAAGTAGGGCTCATACAAAATTTGGAATTGAATTCTTGATTTTGGAGGAATTCAATTCTTAAATGGAAGGTGGTATTCTAATTCTCGAAGAACTAACCCATTATGAATTCATTTTTTTTTTACCCATTATATCCTCACACAATATTCAAAATTTTAAATTTGCCATCTACTTTAACTCAACAACGAGGACATTTGAGTAATTAGTACCACTCCTACACCAATTCCATATGGTTTAATAAACAACTTCAATAGGAATCTGGAATTTAACTCTCCTCAATCCATATAATTTTAGTAAACAACTTCAATAGGAATATGAAATCTAATTCTTCTCAATCTAACTCCTCCTCAATTCAATTCCTGCTAATCCAATTACGGATTAGTAAACATGCCATTATGAATTCATTTTAGGTTGGACTTGGAATTTGGCTATTCTCCCTATTGCCAATTGATTTTAGGGTGGAATTTCAACTTGTTTAATAGTATCAAAACAATGCTTCATGTGTTGGGCCCAATGACTCCACGTGCTCCCACATCATTCAATATGTGGTGAGTTTGTTTCATATTAAAAAGTTAAAGGCCCAGCCTTTCGTTCTCCCCCACAAGTTGATGTTCTTGGTGGCGATAAAAGGTCCGTGGCTTGAACGGGTTGGACAAGATACAATCCAATTATTGTGAGGGATGCTGAGGGATCTGATTTGAAACATAACAACCACTTTTAGGGTTAATTTTCAACCATTGATTTGCTTGTGCAATGTTTCTGTTCTAGAATTAGAACCATATCTAGCTTTTTTGAAGTTGTCGGTTTTGGTTCTGAACTGGAGTTTGGTTTTGTCGTGTAGCCTGCATATGGTTGATTTCTGGAGCTATGAAGCTTCTGTTACAAGATTGTTCACAATAGTTTCTGTGCTAAAATGGAAGCCTGTTTACAGCTGTTGGACAAAAAGTTTTGTCGGCCCTTAATAGTTCATGTACTAAAATGGAGAGCTTCTTATTGGAAAAAATTATTATTATTATTATTCTGGGCCTCCCAAAGGCCCAAATTTATTCTTTTTGGGTCTTTTGGCCCAAATATATTTAGCTATAATATCATTCAACCTGTGCATATTTTATACTCGAAGCTTCGACCCTTCGACCCCTGTCTCAATGCTAACTACTTAGATTTTGGGAGTGCTTTTGAAAGAGCCCAAAATACTTCATGGCAATTAAAAGTGTTTTTTTTCAGTAGTGTTCGATAGAAAGATTTAGAAGCGCTTCTGATAAACGTTTTTTTGAAAAAATACATAGTTTATAATGTTTTTTTAGAAAGCACTTAGATTTCTTATGAAAATTTCAACATTTTTATAATAAAAGCGCTTATGATTGAATATCAAGAAGGATGCTTTTAACCACTTATCATATTTTATACTCGAATATTGTAGTGTCAACTTGACCCATTCTCAACGGTAGCTGTTTAGACTTGGTATAATCTCTGAAGAAAACCTGAATTATAATAGTTTTTGCTACAAATTTAATTGCCTTTTTTGACCTTTTTTTTTTCTATGAAAGCCTCTCCTCTTTTTTTTTCTTTCAAAATTTAAATTACCCTTTCATATTTTATTAACCAACCCAACAAGTAAACATTCAGGATGAGAATTTGTCAGTGATTATGCTGAGAACGCAACTGTTATCTTGTGAAAAGAGGAAATCCCAACAAACAAAGAAAAAAGAGAGAGTTGAAAACCTCCTCAGAAATAAGATGAAGAAGATTTACAAGCTTTTCAACGAAACGGTTGAGATTAAAAAAAAAAAGGTTGTATGACTGAGTTGAAATCTTTTGCGTCGAACGACAAAGTCATGATATTTGTCTCTCACTACCAACTTGCTCTTTTCTATTTTTGACAATTATTGCTAACGTTGGTGAATTCGTCATCAAAGTCATCAAAGTCATGTTATCGATAAACACATGAAGCAAATGAATATGAGCCATAAATAGAACTAAAGACTATCTTACTTTTTCTTCCAAAATAGCATTGCATCTACTCGTCATCTTCATAATATTTATATTTTTACGAGAAGATTGGGAATATTACCTTTGCCAGGATAAATATCTGGATGGGAATATTATTACAAGATCTCTTGGAACAAGTGGGGCGTCAGCCGAGGCAGAGTGATTAGACAGGATAGGGTTTGGCAATACAAGGATTGGTATGTTTTTTTCCAGGAAAACGCATTATGATAATGATGCATTTCAAATGTTCCCTTCCCACTACGTTAACTCGTACCGCCTGCTTATTGTGTTGAGGGCCTTTGTCTCTTGGGTGTTTGCTTCTTAATCTCAAAGGCCAAAATTCTCCTTTCGCTTTCATAAAGCCACACCAAGGGCCAAAAAATAGTATTTGTAATTAATTGGTGCCAATGGGGTCAGGTCTTTCTGAATGGTTCCCATTCTATTTGGAATTTTTTTTTTCCTTCTTTCTTTAAATTAGAAAAAGAAAGGTAAATGGCTTGAAGATGAAATGGTTTTTTTAGTACAAACAATAGTATTTACGGTATAGGAGAGGGGTATTTCTCACACTCTTAATTAAGATATCATAGGAGGTTTGAATATGAGATCTTTTATCTGCAAGTCAATATCCTTTTTAACCGGGCTAAATCCCATTGACGTAATTCAAGTGATTAAGTTAGAGCATTTACATTTACCCAAGTTCTTGAAGTTCTAAATTTGATTTCCCTACTCTTACTATTGCTTGCATAAAAAATAAAAAGGCAAAAGAAAAAAAATGGTTTTTTTAGTACAAACAATAGTATTTACGGTATAGGAGAGGGGTATTTCTCACACTCTTAATTAAGATATCATAGGGGTTTTGAATATGAGATCTTTTATCTGCAAGTCAATATCCTTTTTCACCGGGCTAAATCCCATTGACGTAATTCAAGTGATTAAGTTAGAGCATTTACATTTACCCATGTTCTTGAAGTTCTAAATTTGATTTCCCTACTCTTACTATTGCTTGCATAAAAAATAAAAAGGCAAAAGAAAAAATGGTTACAAGATCGCAGTCGGACTCTACTGTTATAGTATTTTTTGTTGGTCCACTTCTAGTATTTGAAGGCACCTGTTGAGACTTCTTCAATATAGTCTGCGCATTTGAAAGGTCAGCTTCTTTTGACGTTTTACAAATGGCCACTCAGCTTCACGAGAACCCACCATCACAGTTCATTAACATGTAATTAGAGCTCATTAAACAATCAGATTCTATAAGGTGGAGCCCAAGCTACCACCAGTTGACACGCTGAAATTTATCACAGCCGTGACAGGCATGTCATGCTGCTTCAATGTAATGTGATGTCTGCGATTGAGACAGAAGAACCCACTGGGTCTTTGATCTCTCTTTGCTCTCTCTCTTGCTCTCACTTTGTGACTAAGACGACCAGTAAAACCTCATGCTCGTTGACTGCTCTCTCTCTCTCTCTCTCTCTCTCTCTCTCTTGTGTTATAGTTATTCGAAGTCTTAACACAAAGAGATAAAGCTTGTGTTTTCTATTAAGTTTCTCGTTTTGTTATCTGCTAGTCTCCCTTGTGGGCATGCTTTACTTTCTGTGATAAAGATTACCCCTTTTTTTTTCCTGGGTTGTTTTCTGCTTTGGATATAGAAGCTACGCAACTTGGTTGGTGCTCCTTGCGTGGCTTTCTGGGCTTTGTTTATCTTCAAAGTTTGTGTAAAAATACTGTTTGTTCTTTTGCTTTCTCATATATGGGATGGTTTAACAGTACAAGAAGCTGAATTCTGCTTGAAATTTGACAACTTTTTTGAGAATTCTTGTAGTTTAAGAGCTAGTCTGTAGGCAGTGGGTACTTTTGTGTTATTGTAGAGACTTGGAGTTTCAAGGGGTTGTGAAAGGTGGATATATTGGAGGCCATATTTTGTGGGGTATATGAATTGGGTTGTGGTTATTTTCAGTTTTTAGCGTATCTATGTGGGCTGAAGACCGAGGAGGGAGCTTGTGAACATAGCTCCACTTTCTGTGTCACTTGGTGAGGCCATTTTTTCTTATTTTTGTTTTTCGTAGATAGTTGTCATCAAGTTTGGTCTCTATTTTATATGGCTCAAGTTATAGCATACATCAGATCAGAGCTTCTTAATATCTAGCTTCATTGGTATGTTATAGAAAAAAGAAGCAAAACAGAGATTGGAAGGGTCCTGGACAAGTTTTTGCAGTCTTCAACTTTATTCTCAAAATCTATCAAATAGCTCCAACTCAAGTATAATTCAAATGATGAGTGGGATATAACTTTGTGATTTATAACAATAATAGTTGTTTAGGTGGGAAATAGAAAATCTTTAATATAAGGCACAATAAGATTGCATGTACTTAAAATTGTCAGTCATGAATGCTGATGATACATGAATCTTTGTGGTGAAATGATTCCAAACAGGAACATTACCCAGTTGAAGCAATCAAATATGGTCTTCTGCAATGATTATTTGGTTCCCAAATTCTGTTACTGGTTAAATTTCTTTTCTGCTGCATATATTTGAAAATGATTTTGTTAGGACCTCTACTAAACTCTGCATATTGTTCTTGATATGGGAGTGTTATAAACTTTATAATCTAATTTTAATTTGAGTGTTTCTTTTTTATGGATTCTTGACGGTTCCCATTCATTATTTGCATAATTAATGCCTTAACTCGAAAATAAAGTTTTGCAATTTGCTGTTGCTTAGAACTTGTGACCGAAGTCACATTGTTTTGCATACGGGATGCATGTTTACAGAATGTTGACATGTAACTGTTTCACAATATTAGATTTTCTGCATAATATGTAAAGAGATATGGTTGAAACATATGAAAGTAACCATCTTTTTCTTGTTATTGAATACCCAGATATGAGATAATTCCTCTTGAATGGGTACTGATGCCGCTGAAGGGGTGGAGACTGTGAGAAAACCCCATTCCTTTAAGGTGTGATATGCCACACAAGTCTCTTATTTTGTTTCATATGGGATGTCCAACTTTGAATATGCGTTCACTTTGTAGTTATGGATTCAATGTCTGATCAGCTTTAATCACATATTGCAAGAAACAACCTTTTTATTTTAATTTTTTTACACGTTATATATTTTTTTAAAATTTAACAAAACTAATGAAACTGTGAATTGCTCTAGTTTGTATTTGCTTTGATGTATGAAATATAAAGTTCAAATGTATACAAAGTGTAGTTTTATACATCTTCCCAACTAATAGTTGGTTTTTGAAAGGAAGATAATAGCTGTTGAACTTCCAGTAGCTGATATAAAACTTGGGACAAGAAAAGCCACACAAAAACTTGTACTGATATTTCTTCAAGATGACAGATTATGACCCTAATAATATTTCTGTATTTTGCGTGGAAAAACAAAAAGAAATGTTAGGGTATATCCAATTGAGAACTAGTATTAGGATCATGACAAATGATAAGGGTTCCTTGTAAAACCTAATGGATGCTCTACGGAATCTCAGACTTGAGATAGTTGTGTCCTTGAACATTTTAAGTGCATTTATCTAATTGTGTGGTCATATTAGTTGGATTTTTACAAAATTGTTATTCATGATAACAGGTTCATCGTTTGATGTGCACGGAACTTATGAAGTTGGTAGATAGAATTTCACGGATATTTCCAGATATAGAAGCAGCAAGACCTCGGTGCACAACAGGAATACAGGCTCTATGCTTGTTAACTCGTGCAATTGAGAAAGCCAAGCTACTTCTCCAGCATTGCAGCGATTCTAGTAAACTCTACCTGGTTTGTACCTTTGCATGATTTAGTAGAAGAAAGTAGATGGAGTGAGAAGACTGTTTATTGAATGTGTCAATATGGTGTTGGAACAGCAACTGAGATTGTTCCATGCTGCCTAGCCAAGTAAAAGATAACAAGATTTGGCGATCCTTGAATAAATAACGGAGGAAGAAACATAAATAACTGCATTCTTTTCTTCCTTTTTCTAGGATGGTTTTTCTAGGAAACCTCTACACTTGTTTCTGCATTAGGTTTTCATGTTTCCTGATGGAACTTACCCTTGAGAAACTTTTTTTATGGAGCTTGCTCCAATGCCTACGGGTTAGTCAATTTGAAATGCAAAACCAAGGCATTTCATTTCTTGTCATATACTCAGTGCGTTTCTCCACTATGAACTCTGTACCTACCTGTCTTTCTATGGTTGAGAGTTCCTTTGCATCACTTGCAGGCATTTACAGGGGATGTGATAGTCTCAAGATGTCAAAGATCAAGGAAATTGTTGGAGCAAAATTTACATGAAATTCAGAATTGGGTTCCAGTGATGTTAGTAGCGGAGGTTTGTCAATTTACATGCCCTTTTTCCTATTAAAAATTTACATGCTCTTTTGATATTTCCTTTTTCCCCCAATCCTACATTCCCTTCTGATGGGGTGCTGGCCAGTGACCTGTGTGCAACGGTATAACAGTGTTCTATTATTGCTCAAGTCAAACATTTATAGATATTCAGTGAATCAAAACATGTTGAAGTTTTATGTCCTAGGCTTCTAGCAGCATGTCATTTATGAATCTTCTTCTTTTTCTGGCAGCATCAACCTGTTTCTAAGTCAATGTAATTTTTGTCATATAATTTCCAATTTTCTATGATGGTTCATACCAATTTGAGTCACAATTGTTTGGTGGAGCTGATGATGAAGTTATCTGCAGATCTCTCAAATAGTCGATGATCTTAAAGGTGCAACCTTTATACTGGACCCATCTGAAGAAGAGGCTGGGAGGGTTGTCCGAGGATTGCTCCATCAAGATGCTTCTCAATCAAACTCAAGGGAGGATTCTGAAATCAAGGCTCTTCAAATTGCATCTTGGAGGCTTCATATTACATCATCAAAGGCAATGTTGATAGAGAAAAGATCTATTAAGAAGTTGCTAGATAAAGTTGGTGATAGTGACCTTCGAAAAAAGCAGATTTTGACATATTTCTTGTGTCTAATCAAGAAGTATGGACACTTAATAATGGGGAAGCAAGCAGAGGGGGCCTCTATGTGGCAACAAGGATCCTTGGCATCTGAGACTTCTGGCAATGGTTTGGAATATAATCAATATGCTGAAGCTGAACCTCATGTTAAATATAATCAATATAATCGAAGTGACATGTTGCATAGAACTGTACCACCTGAGGAATTTTTATGCGGAATATCTTCCAGATTGATGTATGATCCTGTTGTTATTGCTTCTGGACAAACATACGAAAAGAAGTGGATACAGAAGTGGTTTGATGAGGGTCATGATACATGCCCAAAAACTCATATGAAGCTCACCCACCTGTCATTTACTCCAAACGTTGCCATGAAGGAGTTAATATCAAGGTGGTGTACAGAGTATGGAGTCACCATTCCCGACCCAAGTATGCAACCAGAAACCCTCTCATGGGAAACCTCCTCCACTTCCATTGCTAGTTTGGGCAGTTCTATGAATGATATACATCTGCAAATGGATCTCAGCAATGTATCATTTGGATCCTTAGATACTAATTACAATTCAGATTCTTCACGCACAAAGATAGAAAGTGGCTTGAGTTTGGTGCAGGAGTATGACGATTCTCTGCAATACCAGAATGCTAAAAATTGTGAGACAGATTCGGAATTTCTATCTAAACTTGGTGAGCTCCAATGGGAATCCCAATGCAAGGTTGTTGAAGATGTCAAAAGCCATTTGAAATGCAATCCTCAAGCTTCTTACTCCATGTCATCTAAGAATTTTGTTGAACCTCTCATCAAATTTTTGAGGGATGCCCATGACCTGGATGATGTAAAAGCTCAGAGAGAGGGATTTAAATTATTGTTCACCTTTGTGAGCAAAAACAGGTAAATTTATATTTTGTAGCTGGGAATTCTTACTGTAGTCATTTCTTATCCATGTCATTACTCTCGTAGTGACTCTGCTCTTGCTTTTGCTTATGGGTTGGTTTATAATTTTTTTCTTTTAATTTCCTTCTTGTTGCCTAATGTAGAAATGATATAACGTACTTACGTGAAGAGGCATATACTCTGCTGGCATCTTATCTTGATTCAGAGGTCATAGAAGAAGTTCTTGCCATATTGGAAATTGTGTCTGTCCAACAGCATTGCAGGTCTAAGATCTCAGAGTCTGGTGCACTTTCATCCATTCTAAAACTCCTTGATTCCCAGATCAAAGATATACAAGGAAAAGCCATTAAGGTTTTGTATAATTTGTCCTTAAACAGAGACATTTGTCCAAAAATTGTATCTTTGGAGTGCATCCCAAAACTGGTTTCTTTCTTTAAAGATGACGCTCTTGCGGGAAACTGCATTTCCATATTGAAAAATTTGTGTGATACTGAAGAGGCCAGGATTTCCATTGCTGAAACTAGCGGATGCATTGCTTCTATTGCTGAAATACTTGAGACAGGCAGTAGTGAGGACCAAGAGCATGCCGTTGCTATCCTCCTTTCTTTATGCTCTCAGCGTGTTGAATTTTGTCACTTGGTCATGCATGAGGGTGTTATCCCTCCTCTTGTCTTTTTATCTAACAATGGGAAAGAGAGAGCAATGATAAGTGCATTGGAAGTGCTACGGCTCTTAAGAGATATCGATTACGTTGATGAGCAAGAATGCTCTGGATCTGACCTTGATGCATCTAAAGACAATGACAATCACTCTGCTGGAAAGAAGTTGTCAAAGCCGTCAGGATTCTTTGGAAGGACAATGTTCAAGTTCTCAAAACCCAGTTCGCTTGCACCGAAAAAGAAGAAATGAAGCCAATGTCTGGTAAGGTTCATTGCTTCTAGCTCGGAGAGCTTTGTGGTCTTAAAGCTGAGTTAAGGTATCATCATGTCATATGTAAATATAGTAGGAAGTTGATTGGTTTTTGCGGTCATACTAATTTCAACATAGTTTTTATCAGGTTTTTAGAATTCAGCTAAGATTAAGATTGTGAGCTTTTAATCTTCATTCATAGTGTATCTTCCACCCTTTTGCAGCTGTATATTCCATAAAAATGATAGAATGATGTTATTTGATGTGCTTCTGAAAATTGAATCCCCTTTCTCATTGCATTTGTATGTACTTGTGGCTTGACAGATTTTGCATTCATAATCATATATGTATTGCCTGGTACACTGTTGCAGCCTGCTGGAAAACATGAAATTTAGAGAAGGAAGATGCTATGGAATCCAATATTTTTGCCAGCTGTCTTACATGAACCATCATTCCATGCCATTCTTAAGAATGAGGCATGTCAAACATGTTCAGTAGGTCAATATTGATTTGGCAAAAAAAGAAAAAAGTAAATATTGATTGGTGGGTATTAATTGAGAACATTTTCAATTTTAACGAGCCAATAGCAGAGTTGGCTAAACCTTGGCTAAGTGATGATGGAGGAAGGCTGATCACCATCATGAAACACATTAATCCTCACTTTTGAAACAAGAAAAAAAAACTCAAGAATATTGGATCAAAATTGCATCTTCATTCAAGATCACTGGGAGAGAAGAAATACTATTGGGATCGACTGATCCCACTGAAGTTGCATATGATTCTCCACTTTGTTTTCTTTTTGTGTTTTCTACAAGTGATATCATAGATTTGGGATCGAATAAAGGACTTTGAATAAATATATTAATTCTTTAACCGATTGAGCTCCGACACCCTTATGCATCAACTTTGATTATTCATGAATCAAAAGTAAAAACTGGTGAATGAAAAATGACGTCATATAATCATAAGCAATTACATCATAAAGTTATGTGGTTTAATTTCGGATACAAAACCTTTATTTAAAAAAAAAAGAAATCGGAGTCAAAAATAAAATAAGTTAGGTGGTTTAGTATTGTAATTAATATATGTAAGAACTATATGGGACGATATCATCAAAAGCTGGGGTAGCTCAGTTGGTTAGAGCGTGTGGCTGTTAACCACAAGGTCGAAGGTTCGAACCCTTCTTCTAGCGCGACAATTTTGTCCATTTTCTGTTTTTAAAACCGCCAAATTAACCAGCGCCTTTAACATAACCCTGAAGTCTATAACACTGCGAGAAACTACAATTCAAAATTTCAAAATCATGAACAGAGTCGCTTCATTTTTGCAGACTTGATTTTAATTTTATGATATAAAGGGTTTTGCTTTGATTGATTCTTCGCTTCAGGCTGCTCTCTAAGCTAGGGTTCGGGGTTTTTGTGTTCTTGATCAAATTAGGGTTTTTCTTTTCTTTTTTCTTTTCTTCTTCCTGTTCATAGAAGAACCATAGAAGAAGAGGCCATGGCGACAGAATCATCAGAGGGAGAAGAGGAAGGGAAGCTGACAGGAGGGAACCAAGTGCTAACAGTGGACGATGATCTCAGAGAAATGGGCAAGAAGGCCGCTTGGAGTGTCAGCTCTTGCAAGGCCGGCAATGGCGTCTCATCTCTCCGTGACGACAATCTTGATACTTATTGGCAGTCTCTGCTTCAATTCTCTTTTCCTTTCTTGATCCCTCAAAAATACGAAAATGCAAAATGAAAACTTATAATTGTTTTGTTATTTTTTGCTTCGTTTGCAGATCGGATGGTGCGCAACCTCATTTAGTAAACATTCAATTCCAGAAGAAAGTGAAGCTCCAAGTATGTGTGAAAGTTTCTATCTTTTTGGTTATTTAAAAATCCAAAATTTGATTTTGACTAATGGGTTTTGTTTTTTCTCACCAAAAAAACAAAACAAAATCAGCTTGTTGTTCTCTATGTGGATTTCAAGCTTGATGAGAGCTATACACCTTGTAAGATCTCAATTCGTGCCGGGGATGGCTTCCACAACTTGAAGGTAATATGTTTGTCTACTTGAATGATTATATTACATATCTCCTTTTGTGCTGTATTGCTATGTGATCTTGGCTAAGACCCAATTTGATTAACTTTGGCTATGGTGCTGCAAATGTTTTTAGGACATAAAAACTGTTGAGCTCGATAAGCCAACGGGTTGGGTTCATATATCATTGTCTGGAAATGATCCTAGGTAAGCAGTGAAAGCATTATTCATTTTTTAAGCTTTAGTAGTTACCTGGATTGCATATTTCTCCTTGTTATTCCTGGGTTGTAGTTTTGTTTACAACATTGTTACATCTTTGCATGAAATTATGACTTGACGAGCGGTGGCTCAACAAGGTTCAATTGCAAGAGCTTACATGAATAACATGTAGAATATTATTGTTAAGAAATTCAAAACTTGATAGCTGTTGCATTCTTCTTGTTTTGATCTCTGATACTTCACTGAATAATAATTGGAGCTCAACTCTTTTTTCTATTCTGTCACATGGAGGACCTTAATCTGGGAAAAAATTGGGTTCAGTAACATCCTCCTATTTCAATTTATGGTGTGACAAGTATTGATGATTGATATATCAAAGATAAGCGAGTTGATTGAATTATATGCTTTTGCCCTTATGTGTGGTTCAATGACATGATGGTGAAATATGTTTGCATGTTGATATGTTTGAGGAATGAGATATGCGTAAAGAAATGTTTCCCAGAATCTGACGATGATGTTCAATTTCTCGAAATGATGTTCAAGTTCTGAAATGTATGCCAATATGTTTGCAGGGAAACTTTTGTCAATACTTTTATGTTGCAAATCTCCGTGTTATCAAATCACCTTAATGGAAGGGACACTCATGTGCGGCAGATCAAAGTTTACGGCCCTCGACCGTGCGTCACCTTATCTTTTTCTTGCTCGTTAATTGCTGATTATGAGAAATATTGTGTGATTCTTTGTTTATGTTTTCCATTTTATTTGTACGGCGCAGGAACCCTATTCCGCATCAGCCATTTCAGTTTACTTCAAGAGAGTTCATCACCTATTCTTCTGTGAGATGAGAAATGTGACCTGGCATAGAAAGAAACAGATGGGAAATGTTGGAGCTTGAACTGAAACCGGGATCGAATCCATAAACCATAACCTAATCACCATGAGGAAGTTTCTCTGTGTAATATCTGTAACATTATGATGTTATGTCCACCGGCAATGAAAAATGTTGTTTGGTACTTTTATGGCATGATTTGAATTTTCATCTGAGTTCTCTAGAACAGCTTTGAATTTTTGTTTCCTCTTTTGGTGGGGGTGTGAGCTGTGCGTAGGCCTACATTGCCTACTTGAAACATCGTTGTCCAGCAGTATTAGAATATTAAACAATAAAAACATCATTGACCATCGAGCTCAGACTTGAACTTTAAGTAATGAGCTTTTGGATAATACCAGTTATGAGATGCTAAGCCATAATATAAAGCAAGAATCCATGTCGTTTACAAAATGAAGTATGTGTCACTTAAAGTGCCAAGCATGACTCATGCAAATCTCTTTTTTCAACCTTTTCAAATGCAATTTTACTTTAGATCATCGACTTTTTAAGCGTATCGCTTTTGTCAGATTTGCTACATCATCCGTTGAAAATGCTCACACAAGCATATATTATTCTCATTTCCACAAGGACAAAGGATAGGGAAAGTTCTACAATGCTGGGATTGTCTGGATGTTGATCCAAGTTAAAAGCGTAAATGAAATCCATGGGAATTTTACAATCTGTACGGATTCTGGGGCATGCATCATAGAACAACCCTATATAGATAGGATCCATTTTGCCTCACATAAAACAGCTTACAAGTCAAATTTGGGATTGGCGGCTTTCAGAAAAAGCATCAATTGATTGAAATAGCTGTGAATTTCAGCAGTACATGATCGAGCATTACGAACTTCTTGGTAGAACATGCATATGGTTCAGAATTAAATGACAAAATTCAGGAAATGACGATCATGTTCTACACTCAAGTGTCATTCACAAGCTGGCTTGGTGTCGAAGCTGCTTAAGCAGATTGCAAATGCCTGGAAACAGGACAGGGGGTAGCGATAATCCACGGTGAAGATGTCTTTTCCAATCTTTCCAAACTGTAGGATTACCCTCTCTTGTTCTTCAGCTGAAACATTGTGGGATGGAACAACAGCTGCAACTAGCTGGAAATTTTTTACAGAAGCCACCGTAACACGCCCTCTAAAATTAAGGCACCAGCACTGTAACTGCTCATGCCACCTAGGGGACTTATTTTTCAAAACCAGCGGTTCTGCGCCCTGGACATGTGTTTCAGAGAGGTTTGTAGAGCTGTAACCAGTGACTAGCTCCTTTTCTGTTGAACAGGGTGAGGGAGCAAAGTGCTCATCATAGGCTTGTGAGAACAACGTTGGTGTTGGAGCGGTGCCCCCCTCCTGAATAGAAGAGACAGGAATAGAGGGCATGGCACAGTGCATTCTCCTTGGGCCTCTTGTGCGGAGAATATTGAGCTCATAACAGACGGTTCCAACACTGTAGTTACATGCTGGTACTCTTGGAGAAACCTGCTTAGAATGGAACCTTCGAGATGATCGACTATTTGTTTGAGGTACTGCATCACATGGAGGCTGGCTGTCATATACGGTGAACTTGGTACCCAAAAAGTTGGACCTGGAAAAATTGTTTTTTGAATAAGTTGTCAAGAGCATAGCCAATGAATAACTTGACAAAGATATTTGTAAGTGTAATAGCGTACACTTGCCTCAATTTACCAACATATGTACTGCTGGCTCGAGAAAAATCATCTGCAACCAAAGATATAATGAACTCTGTGCTTGTTGCCCTTCTGATCCTTTTGGCCGCTAACAATAATTTATCTTTCTCACCCTCAGCTGTCAATTTAATAATATTAGTGAACATCACATTTCTTTTCATCAAGATATTTGAGGAAAATTTTATGTGGTGGGTAATTTAAAACGAGAATGATGAAAAGAGCAAATAACCCCTAGGAGGAGACTTACAAGGCACCAGACCGTAGTGCAGATAAAATGTGGAAGTTTCTCTATCCCTTCTAATGAAGCATTGTATTGGAGACTGGCGAGGCCCCGGCTACACAAAGCAGACCAAATTAACACTATTTCAGAGAAGGCAATCAGTACATGCAAACACAAACTTTAGGGGAAGAAGTAAAAAGCAACACCTGCTTCAATGAGATTGGAAATGTGAGCCTTCCGCATTGCTCAGGAGTTTTGACAATCTCCCTCACAATGGCCCTCCATGACTTACAAACCGAAGCACAAGAAACAACAACAGCTCGAGCAGGCCATGTGGTTTCACTTTCTTCTACCCTCTGAATTATGTCCAAAAGCAATTCCGGAGGTAAATTTGCCCACTGACCCTGTTGAATCAAATCAGATGGAGGGTTTGGTGCCAGATCAGGAGCAATATGTGACATCATCCTACTATGCCAATGCTTCCGGTCACTCACTCGCTTTGACATGCTCCCAATTCCATCTTTCATCTCCCTCAGCTCGCGAACAAGGCCTTTGAACGACATCTACACATAGCGTATCAATCAAAATATAACATGAAACCAAAACCTTAGTAATTTCGGTATCGAGTACATGACACCCATTATCTTCAATTTGAATCAAATTCAAAATGTCAACGAAGCCATATTCTGTGAGTGCATTGAAGACGCTAAATCGGCCAAAGTTTTGGCATTAACATGGCTACATTTACGAGAAATCTCAAGAGAAACAACATAACTTCTCTTCCCACCCAAAAGTTCAAATCTTTTCAATGCCTTTAAAATTTCTCTCCTCCGTATCAAAACCTCTTGAACCAGCATCAACAATATCTATACAGAAAATCTGTAATTTCTAAAAGACCGCATTATTTTTAGCAATAATTTAAAAAAAAATAAATATATTTTCTATCATTGTCTCTGAAAATGACAAACTTTCGGCGATCTGGAAATTAAATAATTAAAAATTGAAAAACCAATCGCTAATCATTAAAAAAAAGGCGGAAAAACAAGAACCAACCTGTTGAACCAGCTCGAAAGCTCGCAGCTATTTCACGACGACCTAGAAACGGAAGGCAGGCAGAGGAGAAGTTCTAGAACGTTCCCGGATCGCAAATCGGAGAACCACGGCCAAACTCTCAGACGCCGACCGTGTGTTCTCCGACTTGGGTATTACTTCAAGGCCCTCCTAGATCGCCTTCTCATCGCCGCCACCGCATCCGCCGCTGCCACGTCAGTACCTCCACGGGGCCCACCGCAGAGCTTCGATCAGCAGCGCCGACCAAGCAGCAGAGCAGCAGAGTTTCGTTTCTGGCTCGCTTGCTCGCTCGGTCGAAAACGGATCCCAGGCGCTTTTTTGCTTTCTGCATTTTGGCTGGTTTTTATTAGTCCGTTAAAACGAAAACAACGAAATTATGAGCTGTAAATTTTCTGTAATTTTCAATGGCGGGGGAATCTGGTGTGCCACTCCCACTGCTGGACCCACTGTGTTCGTACACGTGGCAGATTATTCCAGCTTTTCTTGTTTTGATTGATTTGATTTGGTGGAATTTGTTCTATTGATAGAAGCTAGTATGAATTTAGGAATGTTTTTACAGCAAAGAAAGAAAATGTCTTTAACCCTACGAATTATAAATGCAGAGAAAGTTTTTTTTTTTTTTTGTCAGAATCTAACTGGACAAAAACCCCAAATAGGGAAACTTAGTTAGTGTGCATTATCCAATGGTTTATGCTTGAATATGCTTGATATTTTTGGATTGTGGAGATCACAAATACAAATATATTATTGCAATGCTTTTAATTATATCCTAAAGGCTTATTATCATAAAAGGTCCTTAAGGTTTACGAAACTATCAGATTGCATCCTTAATGTTTTTTTGTGTCATTGGTGGTC